AAGAAGAAGAAGAAGAAGAAGAAGAAGAAGAAGAAGAAGAAGAAGAAGAAGAAAAAGAAGAAGAAGAAGAGGTAGAAGTGGGCTGCCCAGCTCTTTGTCAAGCCAATCTGCTGACACAGCAGTGCGGAGAAAAAAACTACGAAAACAATATCGCTGGTGGAGTGACGAAACCTCGCAACCCCAGAAAGGAAAATTTTACAGGAGAGACAAAAAACTGATTTACTCGTGAACAAAATGATCTATATGAACCAAAGTTGGTAAAGATAAATGAAAACACCTTAGAAACGTGGTTAGTACATAAAAATAACCTTTCTATTGTTTATGTGGTTACGCTGTGGGATGCGAGGTTTCATTACAACATTTTTGTCGTGATGAAACCCCGTAGTCAGAAAGCGGGAGGGTTGCGAGGTTTCATCAGGACAGAGTTTGAGGGTTGCGAGTTTTCACGCAGCTCATTTGGTTGCAGTATGCATATATTATGTTCGTTCTCAATCAAACATATGCAAAGTCATATAAGAAAATCCATACCTACTGATTTGGACACTTTAACTGTACACTTTTATTCATTTGATATTTGAATTCGCTCGTTTTCATAATTTTCACCTTAACCGACCTCGTAAAAAAAAAGAGACAACTTAAAAATAAATAACCAAACAAAAAACAAAAATAAAACAATTTAACCGAACAAACCAACAGCCAAGACAAAAAAACACAAAACAAACAAAAACAAACAAACATAAGACCAAACAAAAAACCCAAAACAAACTCCCAAAACAAAACCCTTCAAAAAACCCGAAACAACAACCACAAACAATCAAAGGACCCAAACAACACCCCCCCCCCCTTTCCCCGAAAAGCTCCAACCCCCGAAAACACAACAACAACAAAACCAAAAAATAGGCCATAGATCACGTAATTATACTAGCTTGTCTCTTGTCTCTTGTCTTATGAACGTCGAGTGTGGTCCTTGCTTCTCCAAAATCAATACAGTAAGCTTATAAAGAAAACGTTTCCTTTCATGCGACGCACGTCTAGTCGCGTGCGACTGTCGCCTGCGATCGTCCATGTGGCGATCGTTGGTCTCGTCGCGTGCGACAGAATGGGGGTGTGACAGGTTTAGAGCACCACCATTGGTCAAACTGTCTAGCCAAGGAGACACGGTCGACTCACTGTGTGTGGTGTGGAGTAGATCTAGTGTGGTGTGGGGTGGTGTGGCGTGGTGTGGTGTGTGTGTTTGTTTATTTGTGTGTGTGTAAGTGTGTGTGTGTATGTGTGTGTGTGTGTGTGTGTATGTGTGTGTGTGTGTATGTGTGTGTGTGTGTGTGTGTGTGTGTTTGTTTAGGATGTTCACCTTCAATTCGACCCAATGCAAGTTTTGTGAATCTAATGTTGATATTGTTTTTGCAATGGACAGCAGGAGGAGGAGGGGGAGGGGAGAGGAGGAGGAGGA